ACAGAATCTTCACACCCGTTTGCAAAACCCTCCTGCAGAAAGTAAAGTTAAAGAAGACAGGACCAACAAAAAACAATGACCAAAACCTTTGCATGTTATACCACATCACGTGTCTCACAACTAGAAAAATAGCCAGCAGATATGATATTAGCGTGTTGTTTTCCACCCCTTGCAAGGTTTCAAAAGTGTGTGTACTAAACAGCAACACGAATAGTCAATCTTGCCCCATTCGTCACGAGAATAGGTTTACTTAATGCAAATTTAACGTTTGTAGAAATATTTTTTATCAGGTAAACCAATGATCAGTGCATCACTACACGTTCACTTATCCTTTCCGAGAGGGAGTATTCTTTTCACAGTTAAAATTATTTTGTAGTGCTCACACGTGTCGTCACGCATGAACACGGTTCTTGTACTCCGTATAAAAGCGCTCGTAGCACATTCATTAAATTCAGTTGACAGTCTGTGCTCTTTCCTGTCCTTTCTGTCTCTTCCTAAAGTTGTCGCGCTGTGACTAGCACACAACCACGATGAACCAACTCTCCCAAATTAAGCTCTTGTTACGTAACACGTAGACCAAGTTTCGTATGAAAAGAAGGAGCGGTGCTTTTAAAATAAAATTTTTCACATACAACACCTAGACGGCATTCCAGAAAGTTCAGAAGGCAGCCACGTGACCAAATATTTTTCCTCTCCTAAATATTCCAGAAGTTCACTATTTTCAATGCAGCACGAGTTTTTCGAATACATTTGAGATGGCTGCCAAAATGGCTGGGACATTTGGCATAAAGTGACCCAGCTGTGTCATTAGCCATAATTATGCATTACCTCTTTTGTTTTTTGTGTGTCCTGACTCAGTTTTGTGTTCGTTTTTAGCATATTGTGTTTCTGATCATTGTATTGGTTTCTTAAGTATTCGCTAAAGTTATATGTGCGAAAACCCGTATATGTTTGCATGTACATCATTTCTCATAACCAATTGTTATACATCCAGGAATACAAAGCTTAAACCACTGTGATTGTATACATTTGAAAACACTATCCATATATATTTTTGTGTGCATCACTTCTTGGGAACGATTGTGTACATGAAAGCGTATATAGTGAAATCATGGTGATTGTATATATTTGAAAGAATCATAAGTATATATTTGCCTGTATTTCATTCCTATTAACCGATTGTGTACACGAAGGAGTATTAAACTGGAAACCACTGGGATTGTAGATACTTGAAAGAATTATAGGGATATATTAGTATGTATTTCATTTGTAGTCTCTATGTACTTGAAGCAGTATACTAAACTGAAACCAGTGTAATTGTATGTTGCAAAGACTTGTCAATAAAGTGAAACTGAAAAAATATAATAAACATTTGAGGTGTTGCATGTGTAGTGTACGTATATGTGAACGTATATCTGGTGAAAAAGTTGTGTGGCAGAAGAAAAGTTCATGTTTTATTTGCCTATTAAATAAACGCAATATGCAAGGGCAGCAAGGCTTCATTTTCTGTAACGCGCATTATGCATATACACTGAAGTATATATAGATCCAGCACAAGTTCATACACGATTGTACGCGTTTATATTTTTGCCCACACGCAATGAATGGAGCTCGACAGGTGGTGCACCATCGATAATCAGGACCACTTTCTTCAAGTAGTGTTTAATCAGTGCATGCTGATATCTAGGTGGCAGTATTCGCCACCCCTGCCATGGGCACTCAACACCCTTGTGCACCCTTCTCGCACCCTCCTCAGAGGGTGCTAAAAAAGTGATGGACATCGAAGGCACCCTTCCTTAAGGGTGTTTTTTTAACACCCTACAGTTTTTTTACATGTACACCCTATTCTAAGGGTGCATGGTAAAGCACCCTTTTTGGAAGGTGCTGAATTAACACCCTTAGGGTGTCGTCCACGGGACAAGCTCATTTACACCCTTCTGGGTGTAAAATTTTTTACTGTGTGCTTCTCCGCACTGCGCTCGTCCCGTGCTATCTGTTTTTCGTGTCGGTCTTTTACAGCACTGCAGAAACCGTGCAAATATTCTAACCATATTCCAACTTTTCGTTCTAGTGAAACTCTTTGTGAACTGTGTCCTTTTACAGAAGCAAAAAAACCATCTAACATAATATGACCATCTAACATGACATCTAACAAGATATTGTTATCTTGTTATCCATGACCATCTTACAAGATATTAGATGGTCATTGGTTAATACTAGGAGGCTGCACTGATTTGATGATTGATTGATATGTGGGGTTTAATGTCCCAAAACCACCATATGATTATGAGAGACGCCGTAGTGGAGGGCTCCAGAAATTTCGACCACCTGGGGTTCTTTAACGTGCACCCAAATCTGAGCACATGGGCCTACAACATTTCCGCCTCCATCGGAAATGCAGCCGCCACAGCCGGGATTCGATCCCGCGACCTGCGGGTCAGCAGCCGAGTACCTTAGCCACTAGACCACCGCGGCGGGGCTACGAGGCTGCACATTGCTGTTGTTTACAGTGCGCCACCGTGACAAAAATGTACGTGGGCTTTTCTTTCTTTGCGTCATCTGCGTCACACTTGCGCACTGCAGTCCGGGTCTATAAACGTCGCGCTTATGCAAGTAGGAAAGGGAGAAAATGCAGGCAAATTAGATATGCCGTGTCGGAACCGGCCGCGGACGTGATAACCTTCGTAGCAATGCGGAATAACGGAGCACTTCGCTTTTCCGCCGGTAGATTTGTATCCGCGAAATTCGGATCGATCGGGTGGACGATTTAGGTAGCTCGTTCCGATCGAGCGCAGGAGGAATCTCCCGTCGCATTTCACTGCCCCGACCGGGGGGGGGGGGGGTTAAAAGCTCGATAAATGGGCTTCGTGAGCGCTCTGTAGTTATGCCAATGACGGGGATTGTCGTCCCTATCGTGCCGTCATTGTGACACGTGCTCGACCTTACTTCCACCCACTCTGTACACCGTGGAAAGAAAGAAAAAAGACGGAAAGTAGAGAAGAATAAATGTATTTTGATCGCTGCGAACGGATTTCGACATTGTTGCAGGAACGGCGCATGTTTCAGCGGGGAGAGTGCGTGTGTAATTTGGGTAAACGGCGCGACGGAACAGGGCATAACAAAAGGGACATATGTACGACGGCGCTGACATGTGTCATCCACGCTGTGTCTCTGTTTGTTATGTCCTGTCTCCTTTGTGTTTTCGCCATCCAAATCATGAACCAACCGGTCCAGATATAGCGAAGTAGCTTTTCTTTTTTTTTTTTTTTGAGTTTGTATGGTCATTACAGTGTCGTGGTCGCAGCCCTCAGGGCGAACCTGCCTCCGTCATTTTATCGCACGAAAGAAATAGAGAAACAGCCTGCATTTGACGTAGCTGAGGTACCACACAGTTTCCCGCTAAAATTAAAGAAAAAAAAACACGGTGACGTTTTGGTCGTAGCGTGTCCATGGCAGTGACGTGATAGAACGCGTCTCGCATGCAAAGCTTCGTATGTTCCGTACTTATTGTGCACTACCGTTGGAAGTCTTGTAGAACCTATACATTTTTAAACATACGAAGACAAAAAGTCCACAACAATAATTATTCTTATTATTAGGAACGAACATGTTCGTTGTCTCAATGTCAGATTTCAGAGAAGAGGAAGGCCGGGGTGGCGTCGCTATGGTCATCACACAATTTCCTAGATTATTTTGTGGGGTTTAACTTCCCAAAACCACCGCATGATTATGAGAGACGCCGTAGTGGAGGGCTCCGGAAATTTAGACCACCTGGGGTTCTTTAATGTGCACCCAAATCTGAGCACACGGGCCTACAACATTTCCGCCTCCATCGAAAACGCAGCCGCCGCAGCCGGGATTCGATCCCGCGACCTGCGGGTCAGTAGCCGAGTACCTTAGCCACTAGACCACCGCGGCGGGGCCTAAAATTTTCTTGCACTGACATTCTATAAATTACGGCTCTCTCAAGTTTCACAAACATTTGTGGAACCACCAATTACATATGGGGATTTTGCCTCCGAAACTCTTGTCCGCTGTGGTGGAGCAGTGGCTTAGATGCTCGGCTGCTGACTGGAAGGTCGCGTGTTCGATAACGGTGGCGGTGGCCGCATTTCGGTTGCATCGTTTAGAGGCTCCTGCACTCTGCGATGTGAGTGCACGTTAAAGAACGCCATATTGTAGATATTTGCGGAGTTCTGCGCAACGGCGTCTCTCATAACCATGTCGTGGGTTTGGGACATAAACCGCAGATAATATTATTATTACGTCCGAAACGAACGATATAGTTACGTGCGACGCCGTAGTTAGGGAGCTCTGGTAATTTCGACCGTCCGGCGTTCTTTAACGCGCGCTGACACCGCACAGTGCAGGAGCCTCTATTCGGCGCAACCGAAATGCGGCCACCGCTGCCGGTGTCGAACCCGCGACCTTCGAGTCAGCAGCAGAGTACCACAGCCACTGATCGCCCGTGGCAGACTTATAAACGCACTAGTCGCGTATTTCAGGACCAATAATAAAATGTGACCAGCCAAGCAATTAACTTAACTCTTGACCCGTTCCCCACCGTTGGTGTGATACACAGGTAATAGGTCAACAAGAACAAGCGTCACGATCGACGTGGGCCTGGTAACACATGCAAGCAAAAGCCTAACTAGTTTTTCCCAAGGACAAGACGTGCCAGAGTCAACACTTTCAAAATGTACTTATATCTTCGAGTCACATTATTAATCATTTATTCACAGTAGTAACACTGCTCAATTTCACGCTGCCCCCAATTTCTTTCCCATCACCATTCACCTAGCCATTTTTTACTCGTTTCCGCCGACCTCGGCTCCGGAGTTTACCTACACGTCTTTTTTTTTTGCTTTATGCCGGAAAAAAAAAAAACTCCACGCGAATGTGCCGAGCCTCGCACCGTTCAATCGGGGGGCGGCGCGCTGCTCTCGGCGGCCCCGGGGCGGCGCTAGGTGCCGCACCGTAGTCGGGCAGACCGGGCGTGCTGAAGAGCCTCGTAGCGCCCGCTTGCCGGTGTTCCGCGCGCGCTCGGCGCCTGCGCCCGGGGCCACTGCGACGGCGGCGGCGGCGGCGGAGGGCGGCATGCCTGCAGAGCGGCGGACCGCATCGCGGCCGGACGCCACCAGCGGTGAGTGAGTCGCGCGCAACTGTTGCCTGCTTACGCACTCCCTCCCCACGTGCCACTGGCAGGAAGGGGGGACGATGACGCCGGCGCTCCCTTAGCTGCCGTCCCGCGACAGCTACTCCCCGACTGTCCCGAAGAGTTTTCAGGACGACCGACGGTTCATGAAATGATGAGGGGCTGTAAAGCGTGAACTGAGGACGAAGAAGACTCAACTTTGGTATGGCACATTTGAACAGTGTGCGCGAAAAAGAATAATCAGGACACGAAAAGGCGACAAAGAGACACACACAGCGCTGCCGTGTCTTTATAGGTTCTCTACAGTGACACACAGCGCTAGTGGTAACGCTGCTCGCGTGTCTTTTGGTTGCATTATTGTGTCCTGTCTCTTTGTGCTGCCATTGCTTTCCCCACATGCCAGCGGTGAAGGGATTAACGCTAGTGCTCACTTGTACTGTCTACTTTGTCCTCAGTTCGCTGTTAATAGCCCTCATCGAGACCTACCAACCAAACGGGGCCTGCACGCTTCTTAAAAACGCGCGAAACCAAAAAAAAAAAAAAAAAAAACGTCGTACGTTGCATAGTACGAGCTCACTTAGCGACCACGTCCAGTTTTCTCGAAGCGGCGTGCCTTACTTCCTCTGTCTGTTTTGTCCTACCCCTTCCTTCACCGCCGACTTTTCCCCTACCGTGCGGGTAAATTTGGCTATCGTTGCGGACAAAGAAGCCGGCTTGTTTGGCCGAAGTGCGAGACGCCGTTCAAGGCCCTTCCCCTTCCGCCTGTATTCCTAGGCAACGGCGGTCGTCGCGCACTTGTGGCTGTCAATCGGGCGAGATGAAGCGAGTGACACCTCGCGTGACGACTCTTTACACCAGCGCTCCTGATTTCTGCGCGCTCCTGATTTTAATTTCTTATTTCGCGTTATTAGCGTGCGCTCCCTCGGCTGGAGAGCTGGACTAGTTGTGTAGCGTCACGCGCGAAATCGCTGTCGCTGGTTAAACGTGTGCTCTACCAGTTGCATCGTGATCCTTCCCCTCCCTTATCGCGCTTTCGTCTCGTTTGGTTGTTAACGCGTCATTTGCATCGCGTCACACTGCAGTGCCAGATAGTGTCGCGTACAAAGGATAGTTAAGTTCGTTCTGCCCGTGTGGCGAGCTTGGTAAAAAAAAAAAAAAAAACCTGCGTGGGCTGGGAACAAAAGGCCCGCGTGGCCTGTTGTGCGCGACACGCGCGCTTTTGTCAACTCTGCCGTCCTGAATGTGACACGCCGGCAAACAGCGGCGGACAGGGAAGATTGATGCGTTTGTTGAAGCCTCCGACAAGGGAGGTTTTCGATCTTCGTGCGCATTATCCGCCGCGTAAACGTTCACCCGAAAGAGCGCGTTTTGCAAAGCTCGCTCAAACGAGTCGGTGTTTTTTTTCAGACTGGCATAAGATGAAAGCGTTCCTGAACAGCTTCGTTCATATTTGACACTTTCGATGCCTATACCGTTGTGAACCAATCACCGCCACGTTGCCGTTGCGCGCTGTATGACCCGGCGGTGCATGTGAATGCGCTGCAATTACCGAAACTACGATGTCTTCGTCGCGTAGAAAGGACCTACGATCTAGTCACTGTCTTCTCCTTTGTTCAGGAATTATTATAACCACGGTTTCACGTGCAAAAACCACGATATAATTATGAGGTTCTCCGTAGGGAAGGGCTCCGAAAATTTTGACCACGTGGCTTTCCTTAACACACTGACATTGCACAGTGTGCAGATGAGTTATACAAAAAAGATGGCCACTAGTGTGTAGTATAGAAAGAAGAGAAGGCTCTCGCTTGCAGCAAACTTTTCATTAAAGCGCAATGCCAGCACGAGCGCATTTCTGCGCGTGCGTCGAGTCTGGTTCGTCCGTTTTGCCGAATCGGAGCAGGCTTATAGGTAACCGAAGAAGGAAAGAGGTATTTAATGTGGCTGTAATAGAAGGGACACCTACATTTGTTATCGTGCTTAGGCGATTACCATAACGTGTTCGTGCTAGCCGTATTCTTTATCGCATCTGCACGACTTGCGTGTCTTGTTCACTTTGCGAGTAATGGGATGCGATGCGAAAACTTCTCGCAGATCCCAAGATCCCATGTACTGTGGGAATCGATGATATGCGAAGCACGAATGTGGAAGGTTGGTATGTCACCTTAAAATGAGCACAATGTTACGAGGTGGGCGTGTATTATGCTGTACATGACTTCTATGTCAATATTATCATGTTTTGGTTATGTCGTTAACATTTACCTTCGTCCTCTGTTCACGCCACGTAATACCGAATTTCGTATATGTGGAGCTAGCAAAACGACCGCGAGCACGCTATGAGCGTAGCATGCAGTCATGTTTTACATGACACGCATATATTGATTATCATGTTTGGACTGTCATTTTTCGTCGTCGTCGATTCACGTTACTTGATACCGAATTTCGTATACGTGAAGATAGTTAAACGGCCACGAGCACGCTATGAGCGTAGCATGTAATTATGTTTCACATAAAACGCATATCATGATTATCATGTTAAGACGCGTCATTTACCTTCGTCGTCTATTCACGTCACGTGATACCATATTTGGTATGTGTGGAGCTAGCGAAACGGCTGCGAGCGTGCTATGAGCGCAGCACATAGTCATCTTTAAATGACACGCATATCATGATTATCATGTTTAGGCGTGTCACTTATCTTAGTCGTTCATTACGAAAAGTAATACCAAATTTGGTATATGTGATCTAAACGGCTGCGAGCACGATATCAGCGTAGCATGTATTCTTGTTTTACGTGGCACTCATGTCATGATTATCATGTTTGCCCCTGTCATATATATTCGTCATCCATTGACGTCACGTAACACCAAATTCGGTATACGGGAAGCTAGCGCAACGGCCGCGAGCGTATCATGAGCGTGGCATGTAGTCATCTTCTTATGTGACAGGCATGTCATGATTATCATGTTTGCACCAGTCATGTACCTTGGTCCACGTGCCGTAATACCAAATTTGGTATATGTGACGCTGGGGAAACGACCGGGAGCGAACCATGAGCGTGGCGCGTAGTCATGACCAGTCATAACATGAAAATTATGAGACGCATGTCATGATTTGCATGTTAGGGTCTGTCACTTTTGTTCGCTATGCAGTCGTGTCACATTATGCAAGTTTTGCAAAATGTAATGTGAACAAAACCACCGCAAGAGCAGCAAGACCGTGAAATGTAAATCATGACATACATGGCATGATTTTCATGTTATGACTAGTCAATTATGCTCGCCATACAGTCATGTTATTCCAACCCGATTTTAGTATCGATACCCTTATCGAGATGGCCAGGAGAGATTTGATTGATTGATTTGTGGGGTTTAACGTCCCAAAACCACTACATGATTATGAGAGACGCCGTAGTGGAGGGCTCCGGAAATTTCGACCACCTGGGGTTCTTTAACGTGCAACCAAATCTGAGTACACGGGCCTACAACATTTCCGCCTCCATCAGAAATGCAGCCGCCACAGCCGGGATTTGATCCCGCGACCTGCGGGTTAGCAGCCGAGTACCTTAGCCACTAAACCACCGTTGCGGGGCATGGCCAGGAGAGCTAAATATCGTAGGTGGCTAGATAGATAGATAGATAGATAGATAGATAGATAGATAGATAGATAGATAGATAGATAGATAGATAGATAGATAGGTGCGCTCAAAGTCGCTGAAGTTTATTAAGAAATGCTTCGCATTAAAAAAAAATTCATAGCCATTTCACTACGGTGAAGAAGGTGGAAGCCTGCGGGTGCACGGTCTTGCGGCAGCGGGTTCACATCGTTTCGGAGCCCGTTGCGATCCCTCTACGTCACGAGACAAAGGGGCACAAAGGATCGGGAGAAAGGTCCACGACACAGGTGAAAGACGCACCCGGTGCTGGTGTGGGGCACATGTCGGGAGGGCGCGAGAAGACCCTGTGATTAGGGATGACAAAGATGGTTGTTGTACGCGACTTTTGCTTGTGAATGCGAAGCACCGAAATGTAGCCACATGCAGCATCGCTTTAAGGACAAGTGAACTGTACTCCGTGCAGGCGCAGAGAAAAAGCAAACGCTCAAACAGCATCCTTCAATACTGCTATAGTTGTTGTTATTGTTGTTACTACTACATTTAGTTAAAAATTATTTGCAAGTGAGCCTTCTGTTAAGCATGGAGAACACAGCGCCCGCTGAGAGGAAAACGAGGTATGGCGCGTGACACTATAGGATCTTGCAAGGTTCTTTCTCGCTGTAATAAGTGGCAGCGTCGAGACGCGTTGTTCGAACTTCGCGCGTATTGTCCTTAAAACCAGGTTTACCTTCAAAGAAAGACTTCGGATTTCAGACATTCATTTTTTATGTTCACGTCTTCTCTTCTTTGCGCTCCACATCAGCGCTCGTCTTCGTTCTTCCGAAATGTCGCACCAACTAGCTTCTACAGCCATGTGTGACCATTCTTGAGCGCTGGTTTAACAGGTAACCGAGTGAAACGTGGAAGAGAGACGAATCGCCAATCCATCGGCATCCCTCGGATGGCCCATAGCACGCACGACCCCGAGGTATAGGGGCCCCCTACGACGGTGCCAAATGAAAGGCCGCACGCCCCGGCGTGCACAGTCGCCCGCAAGAGGACACGCGTTGGCGGCTGCCGGGAAGGGGGGTCCACCTGCGGGCATCGGCTCCGTGAAGGCGTGGTGTCTCACTGTCACGTCATGTGGCGTGACGCGAACTTAAGCACAAAATACGAGTACCGATGCATTAACTTCAAGTATATACTGAGCCCCTCGAGCGCGAAAGAAGAATCAGCGCCGTGTTTCTCCTGCATGCTTTGCTTATGAACTTCTTTTTTCTATAGCCCACATAGATGTGCGCAAGGGGGGGGGGGGAACGAAAAAGCTCCCCATACATTGACATAGCGTCACTGCGATGAACCTTCCCCCTCCCCCTGATTGGAACCCTGCGTACGC